AATATTAATCAAAAAGACATTAATCGTCAAGTATATATATATATATATAGATGTAATAGACACTTGATAACTTCAATAGTTTGATTTGAAACGAATTGAATTTGAGTAAAAGAATAATCAAGTAAATGTTTACTTTTGATAAAAAAGAAAACGAATTTTTTGAACAGTATACTGCATATATCAGATTCATTAAACAACTTATATTTTTTATATTTAGTATGTGAAATCAAATTGTTATTATCGAATCTAATCAGTAATGACATAATTGATTCCAATACATAAAACAATACCGAACAATTATTAATCATGGCATATAGTGATCGACATGAATGGAGTATATCCTCATTTTCTGATACGTTATATTCATCAGATGTTGATGAATCGAGCCAACCTTGTCCTCTTCTATCATCATCTCTTACTTCAACATTATTGATTTCTAACACTAACAATCATAGTCTTGCTATCAGTACTGACACCATCTCATCATCAGCATTCTATTCAAAGAAAGAAGACAAGGCAACACATGTGTTATCATTTTCTTCATTAGATCATTCGCATGATTATTATACAAAAAAACGTATTGAACAATTACATGACCGTATGGATGATATTCAAATTTCGAGTTTTTTAAAATTTATTAATTATCATTTATCTTTTCGTACTGAACAAAAATTTGTTCAAGATTTATCACAAGATTTATCTAATGGACATATATTAATTGATTTAATTGAAATATTTTCATCTAAAAAATTAAAACGTGAATATGGTCATACTCGTTTTCATTCATTAACAAATGTTCAATATGTATTAGATTATTTAAAATTACATATGCAACATATAAATATCTCACCACATGATATTGTTTCAGGTAATCGTAAACAAATTTTAGCATTACTTTGGATAATTATGAAAATATTTGATTTTCCATCATTTCGTTTAACAACAAATAAACATTTATTTCAAGAGAATACACTTTTTTCATTTGGACAAGATCGTAGTATATTAATTAAATGGATAAATAATTTATTAAATAAAATTTTCAATACAAATATTATTTATATAAAAGATTTTTATTTACAAACATGGATTGATTGTTCATATTTATCAATAATTATAAAATATTTATGTCCATTTAGTTTAAAATATGATACATTAGAATATTTTGATTATTTAAAACAAATTAATGAATTTAATTATATCGATCAACAACAAGAACGTTTTGATTTGTATTTAAATTTATCAAATTATTGTTTTAATACAATATCAACAATTGATTATACAGATCGTACAGAAAAAAGTTTATTTAGATTTTTTTCTGAATTACATGCAAATATTTTATTTATTCTTAAATCGAATCATATTGGAAAATTAAGTAAAACAAATTTATATACAAAACAATTACTCGATACTGTTTTAGAAACAACATTATCAGGTTTGATTGATATAGACATAAATTACTTTATTTTCTCAATTAATATATTGTTTATAGAACATTCACAGATGATAAATGAAGATGAAGATTATTTAATTTGTATTCAAGATAAACAATATCAATGGAATGATAAAGAGAATTTACAAAGGTAAAATCACATTTATACTTAATAACGACAAAATTTTTATATAAAAGAGAATAAAATGTAAGACTAATTTTCTATTATACAAAAAGAAAATGATTTAAACTTCAAAAGAATTCATTATATACTATGTCGAATAATAAGCATAGGTTCTATAAATAGTGTATAAATATTTTAATTGGTATGAAATAAGATCTATATTTACAAAGAAACAGTCGTTACTTTCAGCTGGATGCTTGCCCTTCGACATAGCTGTTATAAAATATATAATGAAATTCATAAGGAAGTCTGAAAATAATAATGTATCATAAGAGCTCTTATAGTTGTCTGGATCCCTGGACAGTTCCTATGTCCTATGGTGTATCAAAATGTCTATTAATTAATATCTTATGTTTTATTCCTATTGGTTGAGTCAAAGGCTATAGAAACCTTGATCATTGTTATAATACTTATTCTTATAATTTGTTAATCAATAAATTACAAGAATTGGATATATTGAATAATAATATGATTTACTTTTATTTCAGTTTAACGGATGATTTATGTAATGATGAAATTTTTAAAAAAGAAATCGATCCAATATCAATAGAAAAATCTGATCAAATTATATTTCGATCAAAAAATTTTGAAGAACCTATTATTAATATACAATCCATATTATCTCCTGTTGATATAACAAATATTATTCAAGAACAACAATTATGTACCCAAAATTTATCCGAAATCTTCTCGTCTATTAATGAGTTAATATCATAGATATTCTTTTTTTTATATAATAAAACTTTTTTTTTGTTTTCTAGTGAATGTCAAAATGTATTACGTTCTCGTAAACCAAAAAAGAAAAAATCCATAATATCAATTGAAAAATCTTTATCAACAACAAATTCTAATAGTGATTTATTTCTAAAATTAATTGAATGTTTACGTGATTCAAAATTAATTACATTCAAATATATATGTATTCTTGCATGTCTATGTTTTTCAATACTTATTATACTTATTCATAAGTGATACTTATTCATTACATTTATTAGTATACAATCAACAATGCGTCATTCTTCCTTTTTATTTAATTAAAATAACTTTATTAATAATATTTAAAAATAGTTATTTGTTTTCTTGTTTTTTAATATATATTGAATTGGGCTTAGGAAAAGAACCTATTTATATTGATTGTAGATTAATTGGAAAGTTTATTTGTTTCCTTTTTTTTCGATAACTACAAATAAATAATAATAATTTAATTACTTTTCATTGGTACTGAATGTTCTCTTTCTCGTAGAGAAGAGTCCAGTAAACATAAATTGTTTGCTTGCTTGCTTGTCTGTCCACAGGGTCAAAAAAACATCGAAAACCCATTTTCTGAAAAAGACATCTCTAGAGGTATTTCGATGCGGGGACTTCGAATCTGATCTTAGTTTTTCAAAGCTCTTAAAGAAAAAATTTTTTTTAGACAAATGACCATTTTTTACAAAAACGTTTTTTTTAATATAAAATTTGACGAAATGGTTTTTGAGGCCGTGGAACACGAATCTGATGTTGGTGTTTGCAAGTTATATAAGCAGAAGGTCCCGTAGCATTGTAGAACACCATTTCTACGAGAAAGAGCTAAGCAAGTCCTCGAACGAGTGTGATTTGCTTTGTATCTGTGAATTAGAATTAGATTTTTTTTTCCTTTTGACTTTCATAATGTAAGAGAAGTTTGAACAAAATTCAATATTAACTCTTTGTTCCAGAGCAGGGCAAAGTACTCGTACTCGAGGTGGGTTCTACTGTAAAACGTCGAAAAAAAGGCGTGATAGATAGCTAGTATTTTATCTAGCTTTTTTCGTCCGAGGGTGCGAAATTAACTGCCGAGAGGGCAAACGTAGAGTTTCAGACTCAAAAAGAATAATTTTTCTGAATTCCGGGGGGGGGGGGGGGGGGGGGCCCCCCCCCAGGGAAAAAAAACCCCCGGCCCCCCCCCCCCCCTCGCTGGATAAATCACTGTAGGTAGCGCCATTTTTACTTTTCGATGTTTCACAGTAGAACCAGATAAAGGCAAAAAAAAGCACGACATGTTTTATCTACTGATGGCTGATTTTATTTGAACACATCTGTATATTTTCCCGCTTGACAAATATGAAAAAAAACTTCCGCGCTTTTATTAAAAATAATCTAACCGAATTATTTTAAATGTCAACATCTAAAGTGAATCCTAATAGTCAACATCGAGATGTTCAACAACGAAATCATTCATCTAAACGAACAATGATAAATAATATTAATCCATTATTAGATAATTATAATAATAATACTGCTGCTGCTGCTGTAACTGATACAGTTTTACAACAATCAAGAATTCATCATATAACAAGATCAATGAAACAAAAAGATAAATGTGAAACTACAAATATATCAAGATCAAAACCTGAAAGTGGAAGCGAAGAAATTTATACAACTCCATTGAATAATGAACATACAAAACTATCTTCTTGTATTCATCAAAAACAACGAATAAGACAAAGAATAGGTGATTATATTGGACAAGATGCTGATGAAGAATCTACTGCTATTTGTACTAATATGAAAAGAAATAAAGAATCAAATGAATATATACATCGATTATCAACATCAATTAATAATTCTGCTAATCATCTTCAACAACAAGGTATGGGTGATCATTATCATACAAATTCAAAACAACAAAGAAATAGAAGTAAAACAACAACA